CAGAGTAGCTGACTGGATAAGAAAGCATGACTCATATATATGTTGTTTACAAGAGACACACCTCACAACAAAAGACTCACATAGGTTGAAAGTGAAGGGATGGAAAAAAATCTTCCAAGCAAATGGAAAGGGAAAAAAAGCTGGGGTAGCAATACTCATCTGTTAAAACAGATTTCAAAATGAAGACCATAACTAGAGTCAAAGAAGGCCACTACATAATATTGAATGGATCTATCCAACAGGAAGATATAACCTTGGTAAACAAATATGCACCCAATATAGGAGCACCAACATATATTAAAAGTCTTCTGGAGGACTTCAAAGAAGAAATCAATAGCAATACAATCATAGCAGGGGACTTCAACACCCTGCTGACATCACTGGATAGATCCTCTAGACAAAAAATTAATAAGGAAACACAGACTCTAAATGAAGCGCTAGATCAAATGGATTTAATAGATATCTACAGAGAATTGCACCCCAAAACTGCAGAATTCACATTCTTCTCAAGTGCACATGGGACACTCTCAAAGATAGACCACATGTTAGTACACAAACTAAGTCTCTACAAGTTCAAGAAGAGTGAAATCATATCAAGCATCATCTCAGGTCACAATGGCATGAAACTAGAAATCAATTGCAACAAGAATATGCAAAGACATTTGAAAACATGGAGGCTAAATAGCATGTTATTGAACAATGAATAGGTTATCATGGAGATCAGAGAATAAATTAAAAACTTCCTGGAAACCAATGAAAATGAACACACAACAACACAAAATCTATGGGATGCAGCGAAAGCAGTTCTGAGAGGGAAGTTCATAGCACTACAGGCCTACCTCAAGAAACAAGAAAAATTTCTAATTGACTGTCTAACCTCACAACTTAAAGAATTAGAAGGCAAACAAAAAGAAAACCCCAGAGCAAGTAGTAGGAAGGAAATAGTAAATATCAAAGCAGAAATAAATGACATGGAGACCAAATAAACAATTAAAAGGATCAATGAAACAAAGAGCTGGTTCTTTGAAAACATAAATAAGATTGATGGACCCTTAGCTAGACTCACCAAGAAATAAAGAGAGAGAACCCAAATACACAAAATCAGAAATGAAAGAGGAGAAGTAACAACCACAGAAATACAAAAGATCATTAACAACTACTATGAACAGTTAAATGGCAAAAAATTCGACAATCTAAGTGAAATGGACAAATTTCTAGAAACACATTCTCCAAAAATGGACCGGGTAGAGATAGAAAACTTGAACAGACCAATAACAACAAAAGAAATTGAAGATGTAATTAAGACTCTCCCAGCAAACAAAAGCCCAGGCCCGGACAGCTTCACAGGGGAATTTTACTGAACATTCAAGGAACTAATACCCATTCTCCTCCAACTATTCCTTAAAATTCAAGAAGAAGGAAGACTTCCAAACTCATTTTATGAGGCCTGCATAATTCTAATTCCAAAACCAGAAAAAGATACTACAAAGAAAGAAAACTACAGGCCAATATCCCTGATGAACATAGACACCAAAATCCTGAACAAAATACTAGCAAATCGAATCCAGCAATATATCAAAAAAAGTATTCACCATGACCAAGTGGGATTCATCCCAGGGATGCAAGGCTGGTACAATATTTGCAAATCAATAAATGTGATATACCACATAAACAAAATGAAAGATAAAAATCATATGAACATATCAATAGACACTGAAAAAGCATTTGACAGAATCCAGCACCCATTTCTGATAAAAACACTCAGCAATCTGGGAATAGAGGGATCATATCTTGACATAATAAAGACCATATATGAAAGACCTACAGCCAACATCATATTCAATAGGCAAAAACTAAAAGCATTTCCCTTAAGAACAGGAAAAAGACAAGGATGCCCACTTTTGCCACTCTTATTTAACATAGTACTGGAAGTCTTAGCCACAGCAATCAGACAGGAAGAATAAATAAAAGGGATCCAAATTGGAAAGGAGGAAGTGAAACTGTCATTATTCACAGATGACATGATACTATACATAGAAAACCCCAAAGACTCCATCAATAACTTACTAGACTTAATAAATGAATTTGGCAAAGTAGTAGGATACAAAATTAACGTCAAGAAATCGACAGCACTCTTACACACTAATGATGAAGTCACAGAAAGAGAAACTTAAAAAAAATCCCATTTACCATCACAGCAAAAAAATTAAGATACCTAGGAATAAACGTAACCAAAAAAATAAAGAACCTATTCACAGAAAACTGCATGTCATTGCAAAAAGAAATAGAGGAAGATATAAAAAAGTGGAAGTACATACCTTGTTCATGGATTGGAAGAATTAACATCATTAAAATGTCCATACTACCCAGAGCAATCTATAGATTCAATGCAATCCCCATCAAAATACCAACGACAGACTTCACAGAACTAAAACAAATACTTCAAAAGTTCATATGGAACCAAAACAGACCCCGAATAGCCACACCAATCTTGAAAAAGAAGAACAAAGTTGGAGGGATCACATTACCAGATTTCAGGTTATACTACAAAGCCACTGTAATCAAAACAGCCTGGTACTGGAACAAGAACAGGCAGATAGATCAATGGAACAGAATAGAGAACCAGAAATGGACCCAAGACAATATGCTCAATTAATATTTGACAAAGAGGGCAAGAGCATACAGTGGAGTAAAGACAGCCTCTTTAATAAATGGTGTTGGAAAAATTGGACAGCTACATGCAGAAAAATGAAACAAGACCATCAACTTACACCATACACAAGAATAAACTCAAAATGGATAAAAGACTTAACTGTGACTCATGAATCCATAAAAATCCTAGAAGAGACTGTAGGCAACAAAATTTCAGACATCATAGGCAGCAGAATTTTCATTGATATATTACCTAGGGCAACAGAAACAAAGGAGAAAATGAACACATGGGACTACATCAAACTCAAAAGCTTCTGCACTGCAAAAGATACAATCATCAAAATGGAAAGACAGCCCACTCTATGGGAGAGCATAATTTCCAATGATACATCAGATAAGGGGTTAATTTCCAATATATATAGAGTGCTCATACAATTCAACAAAAGGAAGACAAAGAACCCAATTAAAAAATGGGCAGAGGAACTAAATAGACACCTCTTCAAATAGAACATACAAATGGCTAAGAGACATATGAGGAAATGCTCAACATCACTAATCATCAGAGAGATACAAATTAAAACAACAATAAGGTATCACCTCACACCTGTCAGAATGGCCGCCATCAACAAATCATCAAACAACAAGTGTTGGCGAGGGTGTGGAGAAAGGGGACTCTAGTACACTGCTGGTGGAAATGCAGACTGGTGCAGCCACTATGGAAAACACTATGGTGTTACCTCAAAAAATTAAAAATTGAACTTCCATTTGACCCAGTGATCCCACTTCTAGGAATATACCCTAAGAAGCCTGAAACACCAATCAGAAAGAATATATGTACCTCCATGTTCATAGCAGCACTATTTACAATAGCTAAGATCTGGAAACAGCCCAAATTTCCATCAGTAGACAAATGGATAAAAAAGCAGTGGTACATATACACAATGGAGTACTACGCAGCTGTAAGAAAGAAAGATCTCTTATCCTTTGAGACGACATGGAGGGACCTGGAGAGTATTATCCTAAGTGAAACAAGCCAAGCAGAGAAAGACAAATATCACATGATCTCACTTATTTGTGGAATATAATGAACATAATGGTCTGAGGAACTGGGTAGTCCCAGAGACGTGGAAGTGGGGTACAGACTTACAATCCCCAAAAGAGGGGGTTGGGGGGAGAGATAAACCACAGAATTTATATACATGCATGCATGAACAATGGACATGGACAACAAAGCTGAGGACAGGGCGGGGAGGGTCAGGGAGGAGGGTATCAGTGAGGGAAAAAGGAGAAACATTTGTAACAAAAATTAATTAATTAATTAATTTAAAAAATTTTCTCAATAAAAAAATAAATAAAAATAAAAGAATGCACCCAAGTTTCTCTACAATAACACATGAATCCCCCAAACAAGATTTTCTAAATATAGAAATCTTTTATTTTGTAAATGAATGAGCCGCCCTCCGGACTACTTTGATCATCAGAAAAAAACATCCTAGCACATCACAGGACCGTGAATTTCTTCCACCAATAGGAACCTCCAGAAAAGATTAAAGACAGGAGCCAGACAAGGCTGTGGCTGCCTCCAGGTCAGGGACCATGGCACTGTGAATTACAGTTTTCCGAGCTTCCACCAGCAGCATCACAATAGCCCTGAGGGGGCCTTCAGGAGAGTGTTAGGCACTCAGTAGGCAGCAGAACAGAAGCCCCAGAGGCTGTGTCCTTTGCTCAAGGCCTTTGGCTCCCTCGCCTTGTTCTTTTCCTTCCTCTCTACAGAGACTGCTCTTCACCTGTTTTAAAGCCCAGATAAACTGCTGCCCAAACCACCTCTGACACAGCCTCCGAGGCTGCAGAGAGCCCTAGGAAGGCTACCCTGGCTCTGTCATTAACCAGCTATCCGACCTTGGGAATGTCCTTCAGTGTATTTCTATAAAATAATGTCTGAGACTTCTACTGTACCTAAAATTACCTGTAATAACTCTAACAGTTGTTTTATGGCAGAGAATTCAGTGGAAGTAGAAGAAGGAGACACCGACCCCCAGGCTGAGAGTGTATCTATTTTGACATCACAGAGCTGGTTTCTCCTGGAGGTAATTCTCTCCCCTGGAGACACCACTGAGCTCTAATCTCGGGGGCTTTGAAGCTGCAATTCTGGGATTCACAGAGAGCTTTCTGGGAATATCTCAGTGCTCTTCAGCAAAAGAAAAATGTTCCCCAAAGGAAGTGACATGGAGGTGTCAGAGCATCCAGGAGAAACGAGGTGGCTACACTAGAAGACACAGAAAAGGTAAATTGGGGGGAAATGTATTTAAATAGATAACTTTGAGTCTCATTTGATTCTTTAAAAAAAAAAAAAAAAAAAAACAGCAATTCACGATAATGGATAAGTGATGGAGACTAAAATGAAGACACTTCTGACGGGGTCTCAGACTGGCTGGCCCTTCGCCTACATCATTCTGATACCCTCACAGCACACGCAGCACATACTTATCAAGCCCACTCTTTATCGGGCATGACCTGGGTGCTAGGTACACAAAGATGACAATCCCTCAGACATGCAGCTCTCTTTTCTCTACCACAGATACTAGGATAGCAAGGGGATACTGAGTCAGAAGTACGGAGATGCTCTGCTCCAACTGAAGCCAGGGTGCTCCCCTGGATGTGACAGGCACTTTATTATTCGCAGACACGACAGGGCACCTCTAAGGCCAGTTGGAACACAAAGTGACGAGGAAGAAAGATGCCACATCCGAGGACTCCAGCTGCCCTGAAAGGCAGGCCGTGCTCAGGGGTTTCTGCATGAACTTCCTGGGCATCTGCATCACCGTGGTAGATGGCACAGTAGTAAGTTGCTGTGTCTTCAGTCGTCACTGAGGAGATCACCAAGTGGAAGGTTTTGTGGGTCTGGTTGTACTGCACGGAAAACCGGCCCTGAGTAAACTCTGCGTCAATGACCACACTGTTATCCCTGTAAAGAATAAACTGAAAGGAATGACCTGGTCTTCTTCGGTACCAGTATAAATCTGGATTTGCATCTTGGGTGTCATAAGTACAGGGCAGTGTCACCTCGCTGCCGCTTGCCACTGTCTGGTCCAGGGAACTCTGGGTCACTGTGTTACACAACGTGCTCCTGTCTGTGAAGAAGACATGAGGAAATAGTGAGGTCCTGCACCCCCAGCCTCTGGGTCCAGCACAGCCCACCCAGAGAGAGCTCGATGGGCAGAGGCAGGAGGTCACGGGGATAAAGGTCAAAGGCAGAGAATAACTAGAAAACCAGTGTGAGAGACAAAGACCCCAAACCTCTGAAAGTCAAAGAGGGAAATGGGACGGCAGAACAAGAGGAACATGCACAGGAACTCACAGGAAAGCAAAAGGCTAAAGCCCACAATCCAGATCATCTTCTCACATCAGAGCAGAGGATACAGAACAAAACCGGGGCCCTGAAACCTCTGAGACTGGCTCAGGGCTTCTGACGGGAAGGAGGCGGAGAGAAATGAGAGGAGCCTGCGGCCCTGGCAGTCACGTGACAATCAGTTGGCATCAAACCTTTCCAGCCAAGGAACCGTTGTTGTTGTTATTTTGGTCTTCAATCCATCTTGGACTAGTACTTTGGTAAAAACATAATGAACATACATCGCTTAAAAAAAAAAAGACAGAAATAGAAACTGCAAGCCCAACGATCACATGCTTAGATATCAAATTGCCTGTCCCCCATTTCCGTACCCCCGGGTCACAGACGGGGGTACCAGCGCGCCCTCACGCCCTGAGCGTGGCAGCACTGTCCCCCAGCACCTAGCACAGCTGTGCGCACTTGTACCCAATAAATGGAGTAAATGAATGAGTACCTTAGACAAGTCCCTCACTCTCCTGTGTCAAGACAGCAATGAGAGGGTTGGACTAGATCGATTCTAAAGTCTGTCCCAGCCCTGAATTCTAGTTTCTTGAGGAGTGCCCTGCCCTGAGAGGGCTCGCTGCACTTCTCTCCGAGGCCCTTTGCAGCACCCACTGGGCTCCAGATGAAAAATCCTCCCAGGCAGAGCTTCCCGGTGGGTCAAAGCCATGGTGGCTGGGTTCCAAGCTTGCTGGAACAGTGCCCTGTGTGGCCAGTGGGGCCTGGGGGCCGGAGTCCCTGTGGCCAGCTCTCCCAGCCACATGCCCTACGCAGGCTGCTTTCTGCATAAGCCAGGACATGACAACACTTGAGAGGCACTGCCCTGAAAAACAGAAGGCTGACTAATTCATTCCTCCAAACCCAGGAGTGTTTCTAGGAGTAGTTCTAGGAATTCCTTTGATTCCCTTTTCCCCAATTCATCTGTAAGTCCTGTCCGTTGAACCATGAAATATATCTCTAGTCCATCCACTTATCTTATCTCCCAGACACGATCATCCCTTGTCAGGACCACTGGCTGGTCCTCAGTTTCTGATTCTTTCTCTGGAGAATCTCTTTTCTAGGTCTTTATGAAATAAATCAGATGACGCCAGCTGGCCCTCTTTTCCTGGGCCTGTAACACCCTGCATATGGTCTCATCCCTGCCTCCTATCCAGCCTCCCGGCTCATCCTCTCCTCCCCCTTCACTCCCCTCAGCTGCTGTGGCCTTCGTTCTGATCCTCTCTCTGCCTCCTTTTCTAGCTGCCTGAAACTCTGGTCTGAGCTGTTCACAAATCTCAGCTCAGAGAGGCTTTCCCTGGCCACCCCAAGTAAATTAGTCACCCGCCCACCCAGAGTCACCTCTGTCTTATTTTCTCTCATGTCGCTATTTGAAATCATTGGATTTATACACATTTGTTATTTGTTTCTCCTGTCTTGCCTTCCCCACCCCCCTCCTCGTCTCTCACCCTCCTCCCCCACAGTGTGAGCTCCACGAGGGCTAAGGAATGCAACTTTGTTCACTTAAAACTGCACCGTTGGCATGGAGAAGGTTTCTAGATTTAGCAAATAAAAATACAACCCACCCAGTTAAGTTTGCATTTCAAATAAACAACAGCAAAAATTAGTCCTATTTGGGACACATTAATACTTTAAAAAAAGTAATCAGTTTATCTGAAATTCAAATTTCACTGGGCATCTTGCATTTTACTTGGCAACCCTAGGCATGGAGAATACCAGAAGTGAACACCAGGTGATCCGAGTGCCACCAGAACGCCTCCCACGGCTGTCCCCTGGATCAGCTGCTGCCCAGGCCTGCGCTGCCGCCTGCAGGCAGGGGTTCCCTCTGCAGGGACCCAGCCTTCTGCTGTCAAAAAGCCTTAGCGCTTCCAGGTCGCTGTCATCCGTGGGCGCTGCCAGTCCTCACCCGGCTCCTGCTGACAGTTCTAACGGTGTTGCGCAGCCTTGATTTTTATAAGAAAGCTGAGGGTTCCCTCCTAATCTGGGTGGTAACAGTTTTCAAATTAAACTGCTATTGCTCTTCTGACTGCCCCATCTCAGTTACATCTGACTGCACCTGAGAACAGAGAAGAGGGTTCCAGACACCTCATGAAAAGGGACACACACTCCCTTCATGCCCCACACGGACGGGTCACACACTGAGTCCTCCTTGAAGAGGCAGAACCCTGACCCGCCCCACCATGCTGTCTTCCCAGCACATCTCGAAAGGCATCCCTTCAGGAAGGGTACCTCGCAGAACAGCAGCTCAGAATCATGGCCAAGAGAGAGGCTCTGTCATAGAAACAGAGAGTAGATTAGTTAGAGTAGATTAGTGGTTGCCAGGGACTGGCGGGGAGCAATGGGGAGATTTGGGTCAACAGGTACAAACTTCCAGTTATACAGTTAACAAATTCTGGGGATCTAATGTACAGAATGATGATTAGAGTCAATAATACTGTATTACATACCAGAAAGTTGCTAGACAGGAGATCTTTTTTTTTTTTTTAATTCCTCACCTGAGGATATTTTTCTATTTATTATCAGATAGAGTGGGAGGGAGGGAGAGAGACAGAGAGAAACATCATGATAGAGCCACATCGACTGGTAGGACCCAACCAGGGCCAGGGACAAATACAACTGAGGTATGTGCCCTTGACCAGAATAGAACCCACGACTCATTGGTCCGCGGGCCAACGCTCTAACCACTGAACAAAACTGGCCAGGGCAAGAGAGGAGATCTTAAATGTTCACACCACAAAATAGAAATGGTGACTATGTAATATGATCGAGGTGCCCACTAACGCTACATATATAATCATTTTGCCACATATAAGTGCATCAAATCAACACAGACACACATTAAACTTACACACTGTTATATGTCAATCATATCTCAATAAAGCTGCAAGAATTAAAAATACAATTTTTTAATTAATTAAAATGTTGGGTTCTGGACCTAAACTGCCTGTGTTCAGATCAGCTCCAGCATTAACCTTCCGTTTAGCGTCAAACATGACCTACTTCTTTCAAGCCTCCATTTCTCCATCTGTAAAATGAAGATAATAATGATAGCTTTTTAACAGGACTGTTGGAAAAGTAGATAAAATAACACATGCAAAGCACCCAACAAATGATCTAGAAATGTTAGGCATTGCTGTTGCTATTGTTTTTTATTAAGTAGACTGACTAATATATTTCCTGAGAGCTTTACTCTCATCAAAGATGTTCAGATGCTGAGTAAATGATGCTGAGTAAATCTGAAAAATAAAGTTGTGAGATCTGGCAAAAGACATGTTGATCAAAGGGCAGAAAAAGTGAATCACATCTTTAATTTGTTATCAATGCTGCAGGCTCTGTGCTCCCCCGAGACCTGAGCCAACTACGCTCTTCCCAAAGCCCAAGGGACACTGGGAGCCAGAGAAATGTTCCTCTAGCCACTGTCCTGTGTCTTCCAAGTTACACAATCTTGTTCATGAGAGACCACAATGTACAACCGAGTGACCCCCAAATTTTTGGGATAAGAAAGACTCTCAATGCTGGGGGGCAGGGAGGGGGAGAGGGGAGAAGAGTATGGGAGAGATAAATGGTGGTAAACACCCCAATAAATTCAATAAAAAGGGGAGAAAAAAGAAAGACTCTCAAGTCTTTTTTGACCTATTACAGACTTACTGCACTTCAATTTCTCTACCCCATCTCCTTTATTTTTTTTTTATCCTCACCCAAGGACTTTTTTTTTTCTTTGATATTTTGTTCAGATAGAGTGGGAGGGAGGGGGAGAGAGAGAGAAAGAGAGAGAGAGAGAAACATTGACGTGAAAGGGACACATTGAGTGGTTGCCACCCACACAACCCAGCCTGCAACCGAGGTATGTGCCCTGAGTGGGAACTGAACCCGGGTCTCTCCAGACCGCAGGCCAACACTCTAACCACTGAGCCAAACCGGCCAGGGATACCCCATCTCCTTTAAACCTACTGACATCTGCAGCCTGAGCAGCTCCCCAGAGTGCCCCGGACTGCCTTTCAGTAGCCAAAAAACACCACTCAGAGGGGGCCCTTGAACCTGGCAGGGTCCAGGGGATTCTGTAATCAAGGCTACTCTTGTCCCCCAGCTTGGATCTTGATCACTATTATCACTCATAAAAGGGACTTTTCTCCTAGTTTCCTCTGAGGTGGGCAGTTATATTTTTGACCTTGCAGCGCCCTCTACTGCTCCAATTAGCCCATCTCCATAAAGTCATACTGGATGTTGACAGAAAATAGGTCAGGGGGGGAATGTATTCTTTGTTCAAAACTTAAGTTAAACCAAGCTGCTGCTTCTATGCCCATTCCCCTTTCAACCCTGAGTCTGGCAGCTGCTTCTCAGTTAGCCCAAAGGGCTCATCTCCCCAGTCACTCAAAGAGGGCTGTCTTTGAGAATATGAGACAGCACCCTAAAAGGGGAGATTGACATTTTCCTGTCAACAAAATACTTAATTCTGTTGCAATAGCAAAGGACATAGGGAAAGTTCTTTGGATGAATATGGACAAGTGCATCTTTTCCATGACATAATAGAAATGTGATTAAGACAGAAAAGCTTAAAAACATCTCAATGTGCGGTGGTGGGAGTGAGTGGTCTGAAGAAAGGATTTCTGCACCACGGTCTTCCTGCATGGCATCCCATTCCAAGACCACAGGACAGACCTGGATAACAGGAAGCATGCCAGGGAGGGCTCAAGATCCAGCAGTCACATGCCATCCCCGGGACCACTGTTTCGGGGAAAGATCTTGCTGAAGACCCTTTGGGCAAGAAAGAGAACGAGGAACCCTACCATGGTTTGTTGCCCAGTGCCCTCCACAAAGCTAATGTTTGAAGAAAAGCTGTGAAGAAGACAGGATTCTCCATGGTGTTGCCGCCTCTGCAGAGCCGGTGGAAAGAAGAGTCTTGGTTCAACCAGGTCAGTGATACCTTTTGTGATGGGGTGTGAGGGACCCGGCCTGACTTTTGCCAACCAGATTGATCAAGCCTTCTGTAGGGTTCTCTCTCCAATTATCCCTCAGAGCAAGGAGACACACAGGTTATATCTCAATTACTAAGAGCAAGCAATTGGTTGTGGCTCTCTG